TATTTGTTGTGTGCTGGCCTTGTTTGGGAATGGGAAGAGTGGGAGGCCACACATTTATGTTACCTCCAGGACACCCCTAGACCTTGGGACGTAACAATGGTAGTAAGTGATGAGCGGAGAGCAGATTCAAGTCTCTCACAGGAGGGCTACAGGCATGTGAAGGTCAACCACAGCCAGCATTACGTAGATACAGGTCTACACACTCAGAACATTGAGAGGGCCTGGCAGACCTACAAGAAGGAGGTATGGCGTTTACGTGGCAACCGAACAGAGAGGTCTCTGAAAAGGCAGCTCTGCTTTATTGAATGACACAAACATGGAATCCTTGGTAGACTTTTCAAGGACATAAAGAATATGAAATAATCAGCATCTGATTTGTTTTTCATTGTTTCAATGTTTTACATGCTTCCTCAAAGCAAATGTTGCACAGCCAGTAAAATGTTGTGGTGTCAGACATACTAAAAGCTTTACTTGTGTTTCACTTTAGTTGAATGAGACATTCATCTATAGAAGATTACTAGACTTTGTAAATGCACTGATTATGTTGATGACTTGATATTGTGAAGTACATAAGCCATAAACAGTCAACTAAGCTTCACGTGTGTTTGACTTTATTTGGATAGTCACAAGGAACATCTGTGGATGGTGACGTGAATGACATCACATGTGTTGTGAAAGGGTTACTGATACACTAGAGATGTTGCGAATACACTCCTAAATATTTGCTGTACATGTCATATAGAACACCAAATATGAAAAGATCCATTCAGAGATGCTACTGATAAGCTACAGATGTGCTGTAGCAATGCAGCTGAGTATCTATAGATATTCTATAGATTACCAAAATGAAAATATACCTTCAGGGAATGCTACTGATGGTTGCAAATGTGGTTTTAAATGCTTCTTATGGGTTATAGATGTCTTGTTGAATATGTGTAGATGTACTACAGGCACTTTGTTGTTGAATGTCTGCAGACATTCAGTAGAGATATTATACTGATACTCTGTAGAGCATCTACAGATTGACTGTCCAAATAAAGTGTTACTGGATTCACATGAGCAGCAAATCCACTAAATAACCTGACACCTTATTGATGTATCTAAAGTTAATTTAACATTCACTTATTTTACAGAGGTTGTATTTTTCCCTGACATTTACCAGGTCACAGTGGGTCCAGTACTTTATAACTCAAGTGTTCAGTCAGACAGTGAAGATGTGTCAAATGTTTGAGAATTCACTAAAAGCACCCATCATGTAAAGAATTCAGCTCAACGTCTTTTGATCTGCATATCACCAAAAATCACACGTCTCATCTCCATATTATCCGTAAGTTTGCATTCTGAACGGCATGCCGACGCTGTGATGACAAGAGACCGGAGTTGAAACTATTCCATACTCAAAGTTTGCCTTCAGGCTCAGCTCCCTCTTCACCACGGAGGTCTGGTACAACACCTGCATGACTGCTGACACTAAACCAATCTGCCACCGTAGATTCTCCTTTGGACTTCCAAAGGGAGGGTTGAGCAGCCAGTGTGCCGTTGGTTAATATCAGGTTGCAATTCACAGCCCTTACCACTAGAAGCCACTATAACCTACAGAGCTGCGAGGAGACGGAGAGATTGAGGGAGGAGCTAAGCTGTTAGTGAACTATAGAAGAGAGAGGAACTTCCATATTCAGCAGAGTTCAATACACAAAGCAGAAACATTCCCTTTATTCAACATGCTGTCATTGGACTATTATGTACTTTCTCTACTGTTACTATCCATTCTAACAGGTATGTGAGATCCTGCTGAGAAAGTTTCATTACTAACTTTTCTGGATGGGATTCATTTGTTGAGTCTTTTACAACATGAAATAACAGAGTTATCTCTTCCTTCAGGTGTCAGCTGTGAAGAACTCACTGCAGTCAGGAATGAAGAGTTCACTTTAGAAGGCAGCTCTGTTACTCTGTCCTACACATACTCTAAAAAAGCTGATGGCACTGATTATTTCTTCTGGTATCGACAATATCCAGGAAAACCACCACAGTTCCTCATCTCACACTCTGCTTCAGGAGCAGTAGGAAATGATCCAGTCCCTGGACTGTCTGTTAAAGTGAGTGATGATAAAACCCAAATGGATCTGCAGATCTCCTCTGCTGAAGTGACAGACTCTGCTGTGTACTACTGTGCTGTGAAGCCCACAGTGACTGTAGCAGTAGTCGACTGCTGTGTGTGTGTTGGTGCGTGTGGGCATGAGATGAGGCTCCACACTGCTGCCACATCGGTCGGTGTGGTCGCTGCCACACCGACCACTGGTTGCAGTTGGTTATATCTACTGTAATACATCTTTATCATAATTCTTTGTTAAAATATTATGGATTATGCCTATTCTTATTGTTGCACTATATATTGCAGTTTGTGTGGTTATACCTACAGTAATAGCCTACATCTATCTATCTTTAGTCCTTGCCTATAACAAGGCCTGTGTTATCACCTGTGAATGAAAGTGTGTGTGTGTGTGTAGATATTTCTATATCACAATACTTTGTAAAATATACTCTATTATATCTTATTGATGCACTGTAGGCGTACAGTATATTGCAGTTTGTGTGGTTGTAATCAATCTACAGTAGGCTACATCTATCTAGATCACAATACTTTGATGAATATGGCCTACAATATTATCGATTATGCCTATATTCTTATTGGTGCACTGTATATTGCAGTTTGTGTGGTTAACCTGCAGTAATAAATCTTGCCTACAAGAAGAAGGCCAGTGTTGTCACCTGTGAAGGAAAGTGTGGTGACAACTTGTTGGTTGAATCCAAGCTAGACTGATTTTAACAATAAGAATATAGTTAATCAAATAAAATAAAACCAACTGCAAATAGGTGATCAGTGTGGCAGTGACCGCTATCTTCAGCGCCCCTAGTGGCAGCGACCAGTGTGGCAGCGACCACCGTCTTTAGTGCCCCTAGTGGTAGCGACCAGTGTGGCAGCGACCACCGTCTTTAGCGCCCCTAGTGGTAGCGACCAGTGGTCTGTGTGGCAGATAACAGATCACATAATTGGCTACAACCCCTGCTGCCTTTATGGATAATTCACCATGTCACAAAGCTCAAATCACCTCAAACGGGTTTCTTGAACATGACAATGAGTTCACTGTGCTCCAGTGGCCTTCACAGTCAGCAGATTTCAATCCAACAGAGCACGTTTGGGATGTGGTTGAATGGGAAATTAGCATGGACGTGTAGCCGACAAATGTGCAGCAACTGCGTGATACTATCATGTTTATATGGACCAAAGTGTCTGAGGAATGTTTCCAACAGCTTGTTGAAAGTATGCCACGAAAAATTAAGGCAGTTCTGAAGTCAAGAGGGGGTCCAACCCGGTACTAACAAGGTGTACCAAATAAAGTGGCTGTTAAAAAGTTATTCAGCGAATTTTAATTTAGTTATGACATTACCTGCTTAGAAATAAAACATTGCAAACAGAAACAAACTTTTCCTTCCATGCTTTTCGAGGGCCCTCACCCCATTGGGACCCTGAGTAACCAGTCCCACTTTCACCCACATTATGATGACCTTGGTCAAACATACAAAATCCAGTCTGGATATTGAAACGTTTATGCACTAATCATTGTCCATGATATAGTTTACAGAACAAACTTCAAAGATGAACAAGAAAATTTGACAGATGCAAACAATCTCCCTCTCTGGAGCTGATCATCTACTTTACTCAATTCATTTTTGTAATGTCTTGTCAGGATTTGATTTGTCCTAAAATGTGACACCGATGTAGTAAAGTGAATAATTATGTAATATCGTCTGCGTAAAGACTGACCTCAGTCAGGACCTTCACATATTCTGTCAAGAATCAATCAGTATTTCCTTATCAGCTACTTGTTACTTGATGGAAATGATGTCATTCAGTGAATAACAGCACCACAGCAGAGACAAACTCATTATTTGTCAGAGTTGTGAGAGGAAGGAGGGAGGGATTAAAGGAGGAGCAAAACTGGGACTCAAGGACAGAAAAGACACTTTAACAGACTTGACAGATTCTCTTTAAGATGCTGTCAGTGAACTTCAGTGTGTTTGTGACTTTGTTTCTGCTCTCAATAAGAGGTAGGTGAGATCATCAACATTAAGAGAGCTTCACTGATAGAAACCTTTAGATTGTAAATTTACAGAGTTATTTTTTCCTTCAGGTGTCAGCTGTGAAGAACTCACTCCAGTCAGGAATGAAGAGTTCACTTTAGAAGACAGCTCTGTTACTCTGTCCTACACATACTCAAGTTATGGCACTGAATATTTCTTCTGGTATCGACAATATCCAGGAAAACCACCAGAGTTCATCATCCTTCATGTGGGAACACAAAATGCAACAAACTCTAGATGGTCTGCTAAAGTGAGTGATGATAAAACCCAAATGGATCTGCAGATCTCCTCTGCTGCAGTGACAGACTCTGCTGTGTACTACTGTGCTGTGAGGCCCACAGTGACAGGAAACACCAAAACTCTGTACAAAAACCTGACAGCTCCTCCTTTTACTGAACAGCAGCGCCACCAAGTGGACACTGACAACACAATCTAATGACAAGTTACAACATTACTCCTGTTATTAATAAAACACAGTTAATCCAGATCATGGTGTTTAATTGAGGCTATTTCTGTACAGTAAGGCACTCCACAAGGAAGTCTTCTTCTACACAGAATGCTTTGGTATCACTGATGATGAGACAAACTAAAATGATTACAGACCCATGTTGATGAATTAACTATTCCAGGGTGAAAAGTGGTTAAAGAGACTTTGTTGTAACAGAAAGTTCACATGTTAAAGCTCCTCATTATGAGCTGCTCTGGATAAGAGCATCAGCTAAACAGCTGAGATGTAAATGAGATGTAAATGTTGAGAGTTCCTCAACAGATGATGAAGAGGAAGGGCCAATGATGTGAAGGCCCAGATCCATCAGAGTATCAATGTTCTTCCTCTCTCTCCTCCCCTCTCACTGCAGACATGAACCACTGGCTGAGAAACATCCTGATTCTGACTCTCTGGCTAGGTAACTCTTTAAACCTACTGATTGTTCTCCTTTAATCAATCATCTTTATTGATCCATCTCTTCCTCTGCATGTTCTCTTCTTCCCCAGAGTGTAAAGGAGAAGACAGAGTGACCCAGCCAGCAGGAGATGTCATTGCTGCTGAAGGAGACACAGTTACACTTGGCTGTACTTTTGAGACGAGTTATCCTGGTCCAACTTTGTTCTGGTACAAACAGGAGAGAAACAACAGCCCCAAATTCATACTGAACCGCATTCAACGGGATGAAGGGAAAACAGCAGACGAGTTTAAGGAGAGATTTTCATCCACACTGGATTCCACCTCAAGATCAGTTCCTCTGAAGATCCAGAAGCTTCAGCTGTCTGACTCTGCTGTGTACTACTGTGCTCTGCAGCCCACAGTGACAGGAAACACCAAAACTCTGTACAAAAACCTTTGGAGCAAAGACAACAGAATACTCCACAACGTCCACTAGAGGGAGTCACACACTGTTAAACTTCAGTGGTTTATGATATAGTCAGGATTTGTTTTAGTGGTGATAGAAGCAACATTAAATGAAGCACCACAGATAAAACACAATAAACAAATAACAGAACTTGAATATGTTCATAGTATTTTCAAAGTATCTCCAATACTACTCCAGCAGATTGTTTTCACAGACAATTGAAATGCTTGGTGATTGTAACCATTGCAAGCTTTAAGCTGTGCTGCCTGGTTTGAAGCAACATGTAGACTGTAATACTAAACCCCCATTTGCACCTCTCACCATAATGTCCGTTTAATTCCCACCTACAAGTCCCTGCTCAAAAGCAGAACAGCACAAGAAAAACTGTACTTGTTTGGAACAATGATGGCATTGAGACCTTAAAGGGAAATGAAGCAGTCAATCAAGTTTACATCATTTACACAATGGATTTCCACTACGATCAACAATTATACAAGAAACATGACAAATGTAAACGTATAAAAGACAAAAGAAAAGAAGAACTGTCATATCTTTCACGGAAAGGGCACCACCATTGTGCAGTACTATAACCTGCAATGTCACGGGGTTGGTTGGCTTTAAGGCTTTGGGCGAGAGATAGTGAAATACAGAGCCAGTGAAAGAGATAGTGAAAGACAGAGCCAGTGAAAGAGATAGTGAAAGACAGAGCCAGTGAAAGAGATAATGAAAGACAGAGATAGTAAAAGAGAGATACTTAAGAGATAGTGAAACATAGACCTAGTGAAAGACAGAGCCAGTGAAAGATAATGAACAAGAGATAGTGAAAGACAGAGCCTGTGAAAAAGACAGTGAAAGAGATACTGAAGAGATGGTGAAAGACAGATATAGTTAAAGAAGGAGCCAGTGAAAGAGATAGTGAAAGACAAAGAGAATGAAAGATAGACAGTGAAAGAAAGAGACACTAAAAGAGAGAGATAGCAAAATAGATAGTGAAAAATAGAGACAGTGAAAGACAGATAGTGAAAGACAGAGATACTGAAAGATGGAGATAGTGAAAGAGAGAGATAGATGGACAACCAGTGGAAACTCAGAATAGAATCGAATATAAAAATTGTTTTGAAAGGTTTTCAAATTATTATTATTTTCATTGTCAGTAATTTTAGTAATTGTTCCTTTATTTGTTTTTATTTCACATTTATGGGTAATGGGAGTTCGGGATGTAGCAACATGTAAAAGGAGATGGCAGACATGAAAATATATTTTGAATGCTTTTTATATGCTAAAGCAAGATTAAATGTAATAAAGAATTCCAAATGTCACAGTGAAATATATCATTATCAAAATATTGCCTATAGACACACGCACACACCTGTCTATAGATTTGTCTCACTCTTAACCCTGCCTTGGCCGACCTCGTCCTTTCTCCCAGTACTGTATCCTTCTCAGATTATTTCCCACACAGTTTTGAACCTGGTATCTTATTTCCTCTACCTGCAGCTTTTGGTGTGCAGCAGTCTCTGTGACCATCTCCCTCTTATTTTATCGTAGCAGTCAGCCTTGACAGCGGCTGCAGCACTACAGCAGGTCAGTCACTGTGAGCCAGTTCCAAATACTGTCAGCAATCTTTACATCTTGTCATGGTCACATATTTGTTTAATCAGCTAATATCTCCTAAGTTTGTTATAATATCTATAGTCACAGATCACCACCAGTAGTATCAGCAGCAACATCCCCAGCAACACCATCAACAGCCCACAGTGTTTAAAGCAAGAGCTGGGTATTCCCTGTGTTTCTTTTTCAAAACTGTGTCATACCATTCGCTGATGTATCAATACAGAAGCATCAGTATATGCATATCAGCAAGGAATACATAACGATATATTTCTGTATCAATATTTTGAGAACAGCCCTATTTAAATCCTTGTTCCATGTGCCCCTTTTATACTTTGAGTACCTGCCCTGGTTCTGATAGCAGGCACTTTAAACTGTAGCCCATTATGTGACCTGAGATTATGACTGCTTTGTAAAGTTAAAAATGTCCTGTTTAAATAATTTGGAAGTCTACCTAACATATCTTTGCAAGTGAAGGGATGACCATCCTTCCAGTCTGTCCAATATACAATAATGTATATCTGAGAGCTAAGTGATAGAGAGGCAAACCTGTAGGTAGTGTCCCTATAATCAATCTGTGGCAGAAAAAGGCCAGCAACTAAGTGTTTTTGTGAAGCCATGGAAAAGCAGGACTTTCACCTATACAGAAAAGTCAACGTGATAATCAACATGGTATTTAAAATTTAGGTTTTTTGTAAAACCAGATTCCCAGATATTTGTAATTATCAACAGACTGGATACAGACTCCATACAGGGTCGTGATGGAGAGGGGTGGTACCTTTGTTCGCCCAGTGGCAAAAATCATAACTTTAGTTTTGTGGGAATTTAACTTCATATCTGACAGAGCATATTGTAGGGTATACAAATCTGCCTGCACATTTGAAAAGGCAAACTCTGCTGTGGGGGCACAGGAGTACAGAACTGTGTCATCTGCATACAGATGATCCTTACAGAATTTAAACATCAAATATTATTAATGTAAACTAGGAAAAGCAAGGGTCCCAAAACTGAGCCTTGTGGAACACTTTTCCTAACAAGGACTGGATCTGACATGTCGTTGCCATGTTTATCCATTTGTGAATGATTGGTCAGGTAACTGTGGAACCATTTAGCCGCTTTGCATCCAATGCCTGCTCTCAGCAGGGTATTAACAAGTGATGGATGGTCCACAGTACCGAAGGCCTCCCTAAGTTCTCTGAACATTGATACACAGCTAAATTTGTTATCTATAGCCTCGTTGAAGTCATCCATAGCTTTTAAAGTGGTGGTTACTGTACTATGCACTGACCTGAAACCGGATTGTATTTAATTTCAAATGTTCTGCAAGTCCAAATATGATTGGATAGCAACTAATGATTTCAATATTTTTAAAAGAACAGGGAGATTAGAGATTGGCCTAAAATTGTTCATGTCAATCCAAACCTCAATATTATTAACACTACATCAAAATTTTTTAAATAAATTAATTTGTGAAGCTGGAACGATGAAATGTTTTGACATGAAAAATGACAAATGATCAAAACAGCTGCCAATAAAAACATTTTTTTCAACCAACTAATTGTTTCAGCTGTGCTTGAATAAACTGTTGGGTAATTAAATTAATTACAAAACATTATATTTTATAAACTCTTCATATGTAGTACAATGCTTACTTTGTAAAGTAACAAAAGCTGTTGTAGTAAAGAAAAAAGAACAACCTCTCAGTCTGAGTTTGGTGGAGACACAAAAAGTGGCATGAACAGAATATACGCATTTGTACATAAGTACAGTACTTGAGTAAATGTACGTAATTACTGTCCACCACTGAACGGCAGCTGAAGTGTCATTTCCAGAGATGAAGGTACAGGTACGTAGAGAAACAAATAAGGTATATGTTGGAGTAAAGTGAGAACTGAGTGGGAAACCGCTCTTAAAATCCTTCTGCCAGTTATAAAATTTACGACCGAGAAAGATAAAACATCTATGGGACAATTTGATAAATGGGTTGAAATATGTTTCCTGCTAAATTGAATAAAAGAGACGAAACCTACCATTTAGGGCAGATATGCTCTATGCTATATAAACCAGAACTGAGGGAAAGGAAATACTTTACTGGTTGCACTCTGTATGTTTGTTTGAGCCATTGTAAAGAAAAAAATTATTAGACATCTTGATTGATTCTTTATTCCAGAAGACTCACTAAAGAAAAAGTTCAAATACATCTGACAATAAATTATGGACTGTAAGTTTGATGCCTTGTAATAATAAGCTGGTATGTAACGTCGGCCAGAGTCCCACTGCACTTTCACATCCAGACAAGGATGGACAAACACCTTAATGTTTCGCTCCAAAGCCTGAGTCATGACCAGTTTCACACCAGTGTTTGGAGACAGAATAAGCTCCATGTTTGCACAGACTGCCTTCATTTGTTAGAGGGGGAGATGTCCAACCATAATTAACACAAACATCTCTGCTTTCACTGTCAGTAATGCGGCAGCTCCAGAGATCGAAACACCTAAATCAGCCCTTGGAAGAGTCTAGAAAGGATGTGACTGCCCCATTGTGGGAGTGAGGGAGTGTTTGCTGAAGACTCTATGTGGTAAACTGGTGGTAGCAGCTCTTAACCATTCGCTCTCAGTGCAACATCCTGTTTGAAATGGTCGACACCACCGAGCTGGTTTTGGAGATCCTTATGTGTTCTGAACAGGCTTCATATTTTAGCCCTTTATCTGGAGAAGCTGTGGACAGGCTGGCAAACTGACAGGCCTTTAACATGATGCTGATACCATATTAAAAACATTCACTAATTGATCCTAATTGTCACACTAGGAAAGGAGAGAGTGAGGAAAATGTGTTGAGTGTAAAGTTGTCAGTCGGGGAATAACACAGGGCTGTGAATGAGCCCCGTCACTGTGATCAGGCTCCTCCTTCTAATCCACCAACTTAGTGTTGATGAAGACTAAACAGAGAGATCACAGCCTTCTTTATACTTGCTGGAGCTCACAGTTCCTCAACACTGCAGATATGACGCCTCTGTTCATCTCAGTGTTGCTGGCTGCTGTGTGCCTTGGTATGAACACAACTCTGGTTCTCTGATATCAATCCAACATTGACATGATTCTTTAACAGCACACTGATACTGTTTGTTGCTGTTTTACAGAATGCAGAGCACAAAAAGACAACGTGCTGCAACCAGAAGGAGACGTGACTGCTGCTGAAGGAGAGCCAGTAACACTTGGCTGTCTATATAACAGCAGTTCATCAAATTATTATCTCTTCTGGTACAAACAGGATGGAAACAACAGCCCTGAATTCATACTGAGCCGCTTTAAGATCGGTGAGGGGAAAACAGAGGACGAGTACAAGGAGAGATTTTCATCCACACTGGATTCCACCTCAAGATCAGTTCCTCTGAAGATCCAGAAGCTTCAGCTGACTGACTCTGCTGTGTACTACTGTGCTCTGCAGCCCACAGTGACAGGAAACACCAAAACTCTGTACAAAAACCTTTGGAGCAAAGACAACAGAATACTCCACAACGTCCACTAGAGGGAGTCACACACTGTTAAACTTCAGTGTGATGATGAAGTCTTAAATTACTTATATTCTACATGAATCAATGAAATATTTGTAATATCTTATAGGTATAAATCATTTTAACAACACTTAGCAGGAAGCC